AGGAAGAAAGCTATTCTATTTGTCAACCGACACTCATACGAGAAAAGAATATAACAATCTATATATATATATATATATAAAGGTTTGATTATTTTTAAAATAGTAGTTATTTCCCGCCAAAAAAATCCTATTTACTAATTTTATAAATATATTATTCAATTTATTTTAGAAATATATTATTCAATTTAGTATAGTGTTGGGAAATTAAATGTGATCTGATTTGGTGTATTGTGGAAGACTTATATGGTATTATGTGGGGCACTATTCATGGTAATTTAAGACTGCTAATCTAATGTTATATTCGACAAATATGACCACATCTAAAAGTTAAGAGAACAAATCATATATTTAATTTTTTACATAAATTCATATATTTAATTTTTTACATATCATATTCGACAAATATTTAATTTTTCACATAAATACATATTATTTAAAAGTTAAGGGAAGAAATCATATTCGACAAATATTTAATTTTTTACATAAATTCATATATTGCCTCGATAAATTATTTGTAATTTATACATAAATTCATACTATTTAATTTATTTTATAACGATTGGGAGCTTTTGGGAACTAAGATTTGTTAAAACCGTAAATAATATTTGTGTGGCCATAAAATATTGAAAACAAATGTGTATAATTAAACATAAAATAAAAAACCCGTACAGGGATATTTAGAATTTAAATAAAGTATCCCAATCTTCCATATTTCCTCCAAACTGTCAATTTTTTGATGATGATTTGAATCAAATCAAATCTGCAAATAAAGTCCACAATTAGTTAGATGTCTAAAACAACACAAATAAAAAACGTGGCAGACTTATATGGTCACATAATTTTATCGAAGATACTCCACACAAAAAAAACGCAACAAAAATTAAAAACGTGGCAGACTTATATGGTGACATATTCACCATATTTTTATCCAAGATACTCCACACAAAAAAACTTGGATTTATTAATCAGACAATTTTATCCAATATAATGCAAACAAAAAAACGCGTGAAATCTATATACTATCCTTTAATAATAGGTAATTTATTGCCTTTAATAAAATATACTCAAATCATATATTATGGCTGCAATATTGTAAAACGGGTGAAATCTATATACTATCCTTTAATAATAGGCAATTTATTGCCTTTAATAAAATATACTCAAATCAAATATTATGGCTATAATCGTATATTAAATAATTCAAACTGATATATTGCAGTTTTTATAAATTTTCACATCAAATATTTATGTTAATGTTAATTAACAAAATTATAATATGTTCTTCTCCTATAAATACACACATTTTTCAGTCTTTTCAACATCCTTCGTTCCATTTGTTTTTTAGTTCGAGTAGTCTAATTTGTCTTTTATTCAACTCAATTCAATATGAAGACCGATTTTGAGCCTGCCAAGCAAGTCTCGACAACCCATAAGCCACCTTTGAAATTGCGAGTTATTCGAATTATTCAAAAAACATTTACTCAAGAATACAAAAATTACTTGGAAATTTTGTTCCATGATGAGGAGGTGAATACATATTTTACTTAGAATTTGTTTTTCTTTTTTTGGTTTTTGTTTTTATTTTTCACTTTAAAAAAATAATATGAAACACTATTTAGTTTTAATATTCTCTAAATTCCATTTCTAGGGAGGCCGTATTACGGGCGTTCTAAGGTATGCTCATATGAAGAAATGGCAAGACAAGCTGAGAGAGGGAGAAGTCTATGGAATACACATGTATCAAGTGGAAAACCATGATGGCTCATTCCGTCTGACTATTCATAAGTTCAAACTTGTGATCCACGGTATGACTAAATTATTAGGTGGAAAGGAGAATTCCCATTCTTTCAGTATGATTTCCGAAGCTTTGCCACTCTCCGATATGGGCATCGTCAAAATCAAACAGTACTCTTTGGTAATATGTTAAATTATTTATTTATTTTTGTTTTAATTTATTTTGTTCAATACATACTTTTGAATGTTTTTAGTAAAATAATTATTTCTATTTATTTATAGATGTTATTGGTCTGATTGTTGAAATTGGAGCACCGCAATTTAAAGAAGTTGATGGTGTCCCCACAAAAATGATTGTCATTTGTCTCACGGATCTGCAGTAAGTTATTTTATTTGTTATATATATTGATTTGTTCACCATCAATTAAAAACAATTGAATAATCAATTATTTATATTTTTTGTAGGAGGAATAAGATCGACTGCACACTCTGGGGTGATTTTGTTGATCGATTGTTGGATATTGAAAAAGATTATGGTCAAGGTCGTTTTCCACCTGTGCTCATTATTCATCTCTGCCGCACAAAACCATGGACATGGACAGGTATTTTAATACTTTGCTAAATTTAATACTTTGCTAAATATTTCATAATTATAATTCATAATTAACTACTTTTGTCTATTTAATTTTTTAACGTATATTATCTTATAAATATTCTAATAACGGGAGAAGATCTTTTTTTAATTTTAATGTCTCAATATTTCAGTCAATTTTCAAGTCAATTTTCAATTAGCTGCTGCGAAGAATGTTCCAAGCTAATTGCTGGACATGGTGTTCTAGAGATTCGTGATTTCATAAGGAGGTAATAAACTTATTACTTATCACAAAATAGTGTTGAAACAATAAACTAAATTCGTTTGTTCAACTTCTTACACAAGTATTAATATTATTTTTTTGTAGGTTAGATAAAGCTAATATGAGAGATGTGCAATTGGTCTCCCATAGTAGGGATGTTGTGAGAGATGAGATTGAAGAATTGGCTGCGGGAGAAGTTGCGGCCACATCTGTAGATTCACTTTATCAGATTAGTGAGGTACTTTTTTACCATTCAAACATATACTTATTTCTATTTTAATATATATTGATGAGTATACATAATATTTTTTTATTTTATTTTAGACTCCAGGAATTTGGGTGTGCGCAACAATTGCGTCTGTGATAGATGATTGGTGCTACCTAGCATGTAAAAAGTGCATGAGCAAGATGGAAAACAAGGATGATCGAGTCGAGTGCACTAAGTGCAATGCAACTGTTGGTCTTTTCCGGTACTTAAATTACACTTCAATTAGCCTATTATGACATATATTAATTAATTCAAAATTTTAGAAAGCATTTTCGAATATTCATAACATTATTGTTTTTTTAAATTATAGTTATAGGATCTGTTTCGGCGTGAACGATCCTTCTGTCGATGCAAAATTAATATGTTGGGATAGGGAGTGCGAGAGAATTATTGGTATGCCGTGTCATCCAGTTTCTGAGGAGGTTATTAATTTTTATTATATATATTTATATTTAAATAATATATTTTTCGAAGCTCAATTACAATTTTTTTTGTTCATAATTGACGCAGCACCCCAATAGCTTTGATTTGCCGAATGAAGTTTTTGAATTAATTGGTAAAACTATGTTGTTCAAAGTGAGGATACAACCTGATAAGCCTGGTACTTATAGAGCAGCCTTCTCTGTTGTTCGTGTTGTGGTTGATGAATCTTTGGTCGCCAAGTACCATAAATGGCAAGTGGACAAAGAGGTATGAATAATATATAAAATATGATCACCTAATTAAATTGTTGGGAGAAAAACTCGAATTAATTTAATGTTATTTAAATGAGTCAAGCTTATCAAATCCATTATAACTAAATTATTTTCATTAATCACATTTATTTTTTTATTTATAGGAGGACACAGACTTTCTCTTCTCGATGCTTAAGGACACCGACAATGGAATGGTAATATTATATTTCTTTTTATTCTACTAATTAATTATTATTCTTTTGTTTAGTCTTATATCTTCTTTACATTATTATGTTGTTTATCTTTTTTCTTTTTTTTTCGGTAGGATGCTGCTGTTGAGGATGAAATTTCGTCTCCCATAAAGATTGTTCAACAGGTCGATTCGGTTGGTGACACATCAACTGTCAAGAGAAATCTTTGGGAGGAATTGAATGCCGAAATCGAACCCGTGATTTTCGCGGAGTCTGCAATTGTTGATAAGGGAAAAGCTAAAATTTTGGATGAGTGAGACCGTGGAGTTATCTTTATAGCATATTTATTATATATTTTGTTATTTTGAGGACAATATTTAGTTTCGTTTGAATTTTAGTATGCATTTTATTATTTTGAGGACAATATTTAGTTTCGTTTGAATTTTAGTTTGCTTGGATGTTTGGTCAATGAATAAATGAGAGCATATAACTTTGATTGCGTTAACTAAATAATATATTCTATTGAAGGCTTGATTATTATTATTTGTGTGCATTGTCGTTTTTTTATTTATGTTGATCCATTTTAGAATTGAGTTTTTATTTTTTGCTTATCTTAAACGAGAAAGAGATAACTTTCACTATTAATTAACAAATGGCTAAAAAAAAGAATGTCGTACATTTAACGAAAGAAAAAAAATACTAAAAACTTTGTTCATTAATAAACTTTGTTAGTACATTTAATGAAAGAAAAAACTATTAAAAAAAAAAGTGTAATATATATAACAATACACATAGCATTTAATGGAAAATATCTACAACCACGATCATTATTGATTAATAAACTTTGTTAGTTCTTTAGTAATGTTTTTCTTTCTCATTAGCTTAATTATATTTATGTTTGGTAATTTATAATCCTAAGTTTTAGACAACTTAGTTCTTCGTAATTGATTATGATATAAATAAACTGAATGGAAACATATATATAGCTATCAAACAGTCACGCAATAAACAAATAATAAACATATGTAACTATACTTGAAAGGCTAGATGGAATGGTGCATTTTTCTTTTAATTGATCATTTTTTTCGAACTTGAACACTCTAATTTTAATGCTTTACTAAGTCAAAAATTCTAAATTCGTCTATTGTCAAAATGTTATTTATAATATTTTTTCAAAAAGATATCTTTCACAATAATAAACTACATTTATTAAGCTATCATATGTTAATTGAAAACTGTTTAAAAAATCTTAAATGTATATTTTGGAGTAGCAACATATTTGGTGATATTCTCAGTAGTATAAGCAACCAAAAATAATAACTCGATACCAGTATAATAAAAACACTTTAATAGATAAATATGTTGATTTGGCTGAGAATATTCAATATTATCCTATAAGTAACAAATAAATATATGCACCATATTTATTATTTTATTTACATGCCATCAAATCTTTATATTAAAAAATATTGACAATGCTTATTATGGAATGAAAAATATTACTTACAGATTTGTATTCCAAATATCAGCATACGATTTCTTAAAAAAACAACTCGGAAATTAATACCAAGTTATTTGTATCAAAATATACATATATTGTAATGCTATCTGCGGAAAATATCAACAAGTACCGTAATTAGTTGTTAAAGATCTACAAAATTTTAGAAATTTATATATATGTAATTATTTACCGTGCATATCTAAACACCTATTAGATGCATATCTTTCAATAATATAATATACTAAATATTTTCAAATGGCATATCAGAATGAATATCTATTCTATATTATCAAACAGAAATTAATAGATGCACGGCAGCCCATTAAGATTTTTTATCATACCTATATCATGAATAAAAACTGACAGCGTGTGTTGAACCAAAAGACAAAACCTATCAATTCATACAGTTCTTTCCTTCTTCCAATTGTGCAATTTTTGCCTATACCCAAACGTGTTTTAGCTGATTTTTTCATAGCTGATGGTATGCAACATACATCAAATACACACAGACAGACATAAAAGTTTTGAAGCAGGTACAGCAATTGATAAAACAGGTACAGCAACTGATTTTTGTCGTAGTTGATGGTATCCATTAAGATTATGTTTTTTATATTGCAAAAAGACCTTTTATAAAACTTAGTGTAGAATGGATGTCTTTTGACATTACTTTGAAAAAACTATTTTCAGCAGGTGTGGTGTGCATTGGATAAATACGAAGCCAAAGGACAGAAATCACAAACAAGGAACATAAAGAGAAAATCAGCAAATAGTGAAAATTCAGTGCACGGTAATTCATACAACAATTAACTATTGTTTTACATTTTTGATATATTAGAAAATGATACTATTGTCATAATATTAGTGTAAGTAAACATACCTTTGCAATGGTTAAATAACCACCTTATTACAATAAGATTTGGCTATGAATCCCATCTAAATCTATGTCCCTTTTTGCTTTTCTCAAATACATGCTTCACTCCCTTCATCTCCACTTAAGACAAAATATGTCAGAATGTGCAAAGAAAACTGACTCATACCGAAAACACAAATTAACAGATCGCACAGTATGCCTATCTTTTAAAGGCCGAAGCTCATGCAACAAAAATGAGAATGTAAATCGAAATTAGAACTATTACTACAATAAGATTTAAAATCGATTAAAGAAAATTATATAATTTCACACATAAATTAAAAGGGGATTTGAGAAATAAAAAATAACAGAACCTTGATGTTTGCTCTTAAATTGGTTTCTTCTTTTTCTTGAGTCAACTAATCGCACAGTAAGCCCATTTTTTCGAATGGCAAAGCTCATGCAACAAAAAAATAGAATGTAAATCGAAATTAGACCTATTATTACAACAAGATATAGAATCGATCAAAGAAAATTATACGAATTCACACATGAAATGAGAAGGGATTTGAGAAATCCAGTTTTTGAAACACAAACAGTAATAAATCAATTTATATGTGTCATTAGAACCAACTAAAAAAAGCAAAAAATCATAAAAAAATGGTAAAAACCTTATTTAACTCCTCCCAGCCACCAGATTCATCTCTGTTCTACAGGATCTTTAGACGAATTCTAGGTCTACACTGTAAAAGGGATTTTTTGATTTACTCTAAGCCGTCGATCTGCTTGGAATAAGGGCCTGTTCGAATTTAGATAAAATTGGGTTTATCAATTGTCACGTTTGGGCTAATTGTTTTATTCTTAATGGACTTCATGTTAAAAAAATTGGTCCAGTTATTTTACTTAAATTTTTTCCTTCATCCATCTATGTCTTATTAGTATCCATTTTCTTATTAGAAAGGCCTATTAATCCATCTAAATTCGCCCCTGGATATATATAGGGGATAGGGGTTACATATATAGATCTATCATTATATAAAAAGAATAACTTTTTTACAAATTTAGAAACTTTTTCCCGTCAAAATCATTAAATATATCCTAATATAATAATTGTTGGACAAATCTAAATAGGCAAAAAAATCGGCTCATTTTTTTTTTAGTTTATCAAAACCGTTGTTTGACAATAAATATTTATTTTTATTTTTCCTATTTTTAGTATAAATCTACACGCTTATCTCTTCTGTTACAAAATCCCATTGCATACGTTAAAAAATTTCATCTCTTATCTATACAGATTTAAAAAAATAAAATAAAATAGAAACCAATTCATAATTACTACTAGAAATCCATTATCTTTAAAAAGAAAAAANAATTCATAATTACTACTGAAAATCCATTATCTACTTTAAGAAGCTAATTTTTATCGGTCTAATTACTAATATTTTTACAAATATTATAAACTAACCATACAAAAAGGTATAATAATAATTTTGAAATGGTGTGTAATCAAATTTTTTTATATTATCTTATACAAAAAATTTTTGCATTGTTCGACCCCGAATCTTTAATTTATAATTATTAACTATTGTTTATCTTCCTTTTTTATTTATTATTATTTTTTTTGCTTCCTTTTTTTAAATAGGATCAATAGTAGTTTCCACTTGGTCATTGAGTGACTTAAACTCGAGGTCTATTTATAATATTGTTAATTTAATATTGTTTCCGTGCATCGCACGGGGTATACACTAGTATTTATTAAATTAAAACTACTTTATACTAATACCAGTGTTTGGTTTTGCCCTAATTATCCCACATTCACAACCTTGAACGTATTGCGATGGCACCGCCGTGGTGGGCCGGAAGAAAGCCTTCGGAAGACGAGCAAGTGCGTCAAATTGCTTCAATTCGCCGTCTAAGAGATTTGGTCGATAATGGCTTTTGCTTTGGAATATCCGAAAACAGCTTTCATCTGATCTTGAAAGCCATAATGCTGAAACCCCGTAATCAACTGGTAATACGTACATAACTGTTTGTTTGCATTTCCCCCTTTTCATCTGCGTCCCGTATTCTTAATTTACATTTCTTTTCAGTTATGGGAAACAAGGCGTTGGTTGCTTCAGGCGTATGGGCGTAGTAGGAAGCTCGAACTGGAATATTTTAGGACCTTGGATGGTGAGGCTGGTGATATTCTCAAAAAATCATATGAAATATGGTAATAAACTAATATCAGTTTTCCCCTCAGAATGCTGTTTTCTTTGATTGAAATTTTCAGTGCCTATATCTGACAAAGTATCGAAATTAGGATGTGCGTTGGGAATCTGTACTGCAAAATATTTTCTTAGCTTTTTATTGATGCCGCCGTGATTATATCACTCTTTGTAAAGTGTTGTGGGGGGTTTGTTGCTTCATTTATTCAGGTTCCATAGATTTTGGCTTGCTAAGGCAATTGGGCCTGAAGCTACAAAGCAGGAGGTTGATTCTATAAAGAATTTTTTGGTAACCAACCCTGATGATTCTCGTCTGTGGTACATCTTCATTGATATTGTCCAACAGTTTAGACTTCCCGATTTGGGTGGCGAATTTAAATTTGTAGACAACTTCCTAACTAATCATCCGATGGCTTGTGGTGCATGGGCTTACAGAAAATTGCTTGGTCAGAGTCCGTTTACGAATAAGCTTGAAGCTCTGAAGTTCACAGATGGCATTTTACTTGGTAATGTGAATAATCTGGATGCATGGACCCACAGAAATGATATTTGTGATATGCTTGATCTTAATGAAAAGAACAAGGAGCTTGAGGACATGAAGTATGTTTATGCTCACGAGGATTACAGGACGTGTAAATATTTTTGGTACTCCAGACACTTCATTGCTGCGTCCTTCCCCAAGGAGCTCAGCACCAATCTTGCTAATTTGGAGCTTCAGTTTTCTCGTGAAGTTTTGCTGCTCGACATAAAAAACTGCTACGCCTGGTTCCATAGGCGATGGGTTTTTAAAATACTCGGGACTATCGATAAAGAAGATGAATTGAAGTGGACAAGACACATTATTGAGAAGGATGTAAATAACAGATTCGCCTGGTTTCATAGAAAGGTATGCCTGAATTGCCATTTTTGTTGGGCAAGAATAACTTTTTTGGACATTTTTTTTTTATTCTGTCCAAGATTTCCTTTTTAAGAATTTCTTTATTCAGTGGCTAGTTAAAGAATTTGGAGGATCAGATGATGAGCTTGAGTTTTGTAACGAGATCCTTCAAAAAGACGTTTGTTGTGCCTTGGCTTGGAATCAGGTACTTATGTCCATTAATCGGGGCTTCACTATGTAGAAACTTTACTACTGTATTTTGTTTTACCCTAATTCTTCTTGTAATACTTTCTTTTCTGTAGAGAGCCTTTCTTGTTTTGGAGTACGCTGAAAATCTTTCTGACGAGATGCGGGAGGCAGAGGTAAAATATGCCACAAGAGCCATTTCTCGGGACCCCAAGAATGAGTTCGCTTGGAAGTATCTAGTGCTGTTGTGCACACCATGCGTCTGTTATGACTCCATGATAGATGAAGTTTTTTTCTCTCTTTTATCGCCAATCATGAATGTGATTAATGGGGGCGTCAAGGATAAAAGCAGTCTTTTTGTCAATGTTCTTGGCACACTTCTAGAACTTTCATGCTGCGGTTATCGACCAAGCCAATGCATCGGTGACATGATAACTAAACTATGCTTGAAAGCTTCGGGAATGATGATGTCATCAGGTTTAAAGGTCCCTGTTAGTGACTTTATCAACATCATTAGTACTATACTGGTATATGACGATCCCACAAAAGCTCATTTTTGGGAATGTCTGAAGTCGGAAATAATAACCAATTATGCAAGCATATGCTCTAGTGGAAGTGTAGAACAACTTGGGCAAAATGGGGTTGAAAACCAATCATGATTTGGTGCTTGTTATGTATTAAATGAAATTGGGATTTGTGTTGTTAGGAACAATGGTTTTATTGTATTTGATCATATTTTTGTCGACGGCCTGCATGTTTGGAGATTACTTTGTGTTGGTCAAATATGCAATGCACTGCGCTTGTAATGGAATTCGAGTGTTGTATTCACATTTTGGTTGCTAGTATCCGTGCTTGGAGTACTAATCAAGTTCCTATAATTCAGCGTGTTTTGATGATAATATTGTAAAGCAGTGCAGATGGCAAGGGGATGACCTTTCTTTAGTGTTATCAACATGTATAAAGAACAGAACATTGGGCAATTTACATAACCGATCCACTAAAAGATTTATTTTCAGATTTAGACCAACCTTTTATCATTTAAGGTCATTGTGGAAATATATTTTCAGATTTACTAATCCTCAGCCTTACCAAAACTGACGCATAATCTTTCCCCAATTAATAAAACCGAAATTGACGCATAGCAAAATAAAATTATCAATATAATCATAGCAAAAAAATGAGATTTATCATTCTGTGTTTGAGAATTGAAAATTTCAATCGATACTCAAAGATCTAGCTGTTTNCAAAAAAAAAAACAAAGAAAAAAAAGAAAACCTTAATTGTTGAGTTCAAGCGAGCGTCTTTATTGGATGTGTTACAAGAATTTTAATTTTAATTTTGGTCTTCGAAAACATTAATTCATTTTTCATTTTCACCGGAATTTTGATGAAAGAAATAGTTTTGCGGTGTTTGCTTTTTTCGACGAGTATGGTTGTATGTCGTGCCTGCGTTGTGCCTTGGAGCTCTTCGAGGATTCTAAAGCTGGCCGGAGGTGGTTTCTGTTTTTTCACGGCTGCTGAGGTCAGCGGTAGAAGAAGTTGGCTCGAGAAATGTTCTCCAAGTGGTGACGGGCTCCGAGGAAAAGTACATTCTCACCTAACTCTCTTCGTATTCGGTCGTTGGTGTATGATTGCATAAAGAAATTGGTTATGAAGGAAACAGCAGCTTACCATGGAGGTGCGGGGGATTTTGGTCGAAAGATGGCTATCAGAGCTAGAGACACTTTGCTTCCCTATTAGTCGTTTATTTATTTTATTTTATTGTGATTTCAAGCATTTTTTTTTTTTTTTTTAGTTAGAATAGCTGTGTTTTATTGAAGCAAGGTTAGAATAGTTGTCTATATCCATACATAATGGAGCCTCTAGACCGAGATGTTGCAAAATCAAAATCAAACAGAAGCGGCAAGTTTCAAACTAATGTCTAAGCCTCTAGAATCATCTATATCCATACATAATGGAGCATCTCGGTCTGTTTCACACTAATGTCTAAGCCTCTAGAATCATCTATATCCATACATAATGGAGCCTCTAGACCGAGATGCTGCAAAATCAAAATCAAACAGAAGCGGCAAGTTTCACACTTGTTATCAGTAACAACACAAGAACATGGAGACTCGGCTATGTCGTTAGCAGCTAACTTGATGCTCGAGCATAATCTGAATACCACACCACACGCTTTCTCCTTTGGTTCATAACCGAGGGAAATAAGATGCAAAAGAGTGCCAAGAGCATTAATACACCACCTTCTATTCTTGAACACATCTATTGTGTCCCTCATTGTGGGACAACAAAGGGACTCATAGATGAATTCTACTCTTTGATTCACGAACGGCTCATCTTGGTATAGGCATCTTAAGTACATCCACGGATATTCATTCTCTCGGTCCATGTAAATGGCTTCCCTAACAAACTCTAACTCGAGTTCTCTTAGTTCCGGAGATACTAGATGGCCCCAACGCTTGATAATGAAGGCTTTCTGCAAACAAGAAAAAATAAAATAAAATAAAATAAAATTGATGATGATGATGATCCTGGAAAGTAGAAACACGATCCATTTATAGCCAATATTTTTTCTGCAAGCATTAGCCATAACAACTTCATCGGTACACCAACTACAAAGCATGTTCAATCATAAATTAAAAAATAAAAAGCTATGTATTAATCTATTAATATTTGCCAACCAACCAATTCGCTACAGACATCAAGTGTAAAATCTAAATTTATCCCAAACTTTTCAATATTATCAGTGACCCGAATTTCCAACTTCCCCAAATAAGTAACAAGAGCTGGAAAAACATATGCATGTACCCAAGGTAACAAATTGGAAGTTGGGAAAGATAAAATCAAAGTACCTGGTTCCAAGCTAAGGCATTTCGACTATCATATTTGAGTTCCTTGCACTCTAGAAGTTCAACTGTCCAACCGTCAAATCTCTCCATGATCCACTGCATAAACAAACATAAACAAATGTGTATCATTTACTACTCCAACCTAACTAACACAAAACATTATAAAAATTTGAGCTTTCACCCAAATGCTATGCTAATGAAAGTCTACCTTTCTATGTGACCAGGCATAGATGTTGTGTACGTTGTGAAATAAAACTTGACCAGTCAAGTCGAATTCCTCCCAAATAACTGACATATCAGACTGAACCTTACCACCATTTTGATATTTCTCGGCAACAAGCCACTGCCTGTAGCGCCAAACGTACATGTTATCTTGACACTTTACCACGTCCGCCACGTCTCTGAGTTCAGCGTCTATGGTATCAATCCCGAAATCTTTTACATGCATCCCGACAAACCAAAGCAAGTATAGCCAAGCAGGACTATTTGTAGGGTCATTTTCCAAAATCCCTCTCACAAATTTGAGTTCTTCATGTCGAGAGGCAGCTGGAAGGATGACAACGAGAGGCTTTCTGAAGGACCAAGCTTGGCTATTGTGGCGAAGAATGTCGGCTACCGTTTGATTCATTCGTAGCAGCAAATTATGCGTATAGTTGAGGTCATTTTCATATTGAGTAAAACGAATATTCTTCAACATGAATGCCCACGGAGTAGTCATGTGTGGTTGAGCAGACAAAATACTCATAGCAAACTGAAGTTGTTGTCTTGCAGCTTCAGCCCCGAGCATCTCGATAATTGAAAGAATATGGTTCCTGTATACATATATACATATACGTATACATATATATATATATATATCTGTTAATCAAATTATAGAAATCATTTATTTATTTATTTTTAAGAAAAAGAAAGAGAAAAGAGCGCACCAATTATATAAAAGAAAAAGTTGTTGCTGTGAAAGTATGTATGTTGCGATTGCATTTACACTAAGAAGTTGACTCAAGTAAAGATAAAAAATAAGAAATGAACACAACACGCCAAACTGGCATTGTAATTTATGTGTTCATAATTCATTTCCGTGTGCAATATGCCATTCATTTGATTCTCATATAAACGATAGCAACTTAGATTAAACCAGTCATGGTCAGAGGCTGGGGAGCACTGGTTATCATTTTAATTGATAAAACATAGAGAATCAAGCACCAATCAAGAACAAAACAAATCTTCCATGCCTTAGTAACCCCAATCATCTTTGATAAATATACTCAAGATGGCGCAAAGAAATTTTATTGCAGAATAATTTAGTTTATGGATAATCAATTTGAACATATAATGAGTATAGAAAACAAAATTGTCATACCATCTACGTGGCAAAGAGCTACACATATATATGTTAGCAAAGCAATATTCAGAAGTGTTAGAACTTGGACCAGTAAATTGAATTTGAATTAAATATTAATGTAGCTCACCAAAAAATTTCACTATCGAGTATGGCATCATCATCAGCGTTGGAGTTCAGAAATGTCAATTCTTCAGGCAATTTATCGAGTCCGACAAGAATACGAAATCTAGATTCCCAGATCTGAAACAAAAGAACACACAAATCTTTTAATTTATCTGTCAAGGATATCCACATAATTTATGAACCAAAAATTTTATTTACTTCAATTATAAAACAAAGTTGGTATTCTTTCTTCATATAAAAAGGTTTTTGAAATTAAATTTTTGTATATCTAACAAGCTCATGAACACATGCTACAGTACACGAAACAGAAGACAGCATCAAAATTCAGAATGACCACTGCCATTACGCTTCTTATGATTCCTGTGAGAGAGGATTTTTTCTGACAGAACCTTCATATTCATAGGCACTGATGCTCGCTACGTATTCACTCTCCAATATATCCTAAAATGTTTATGATGGTTGAACCTTCCTCAAGCAAACTTGACTGCATTGAAGTAACATATATAAAGAAGTGTATTGGCATACAAAATATAGTAATGATAATAGCAACTTCAGCAAGGATAAGATTCTCACAAGCGCGTTATGCCATCACACAGACACAAACTAAATGTTTTTCGGCGTTTTCTGTACACAAAACACACATGAAATTCATGTCTTGTTCTGACTATATTAATAGCAACTTCAGCAAGGATAAGATTCTCACAAGCGCGTTATGCCATCACACAGACAAACTAAATGTTTTTCGGTGTTTTCTGCACACAAAACACACATGAAATTCATGTCTTGTTTTCTAAGATTCATCCTCTTACCTCCTCCGCCTGCAAAACCTTTTTGAAGCCACTGACATAAGAGACCTCATTCCCACGAAACAACAAAAATAAATCTAAAGAAAAACAGAGGAACTAATAGCAAACAAACAAAAAGAAATCCTATGGAATCTCATAATCCAATGGAAATAAAAAGAAATGAAGAATACACTATTCTCACATTGAAATCCTATTAAATCTACAGCTAAAAAACCATTCTGGATCCATTAAATAAACATTAGGTAATAATTTGAAGAACATGAGGATAAATATATTTCCCAACTTTAACATAAGCAAACCACAGGAGCAGGATGACATTGCCAAAAAAGTGACAACCAATCCTAACAGAAATTCTAAGGCCACAACATGACTTCACCCAACCTCCGAGAACCAAATTGCATCCTTGTTTGAGTGTGTGAAAACGGTCAAGAATAACAGAATTGTGTATTAATAAGAGGGTTAAGTTGGAATATTTATGTTATGGTTGATCGATTGTTTGTTCATGATGGTGTATTTCGTTCATTGCAATAAGACCCCTCATATTCATGTTACAAATCATTATCTTAAAGAAGTGGCATTTTTGGATGTCGTTATGGAGGAAGCTAAGGATAGTCGGCAATATCCACCATCCTCTCAGACATATGGGAAGACTGAAAGTTGTTAATAAAATCTTGGGAAACCGATTGCGGAGTTTGATTGGAGACGGTCCAAAAAGAAAAGAAAAAAAAAATGGAATGGCAAGCAAAATTTGCTTATAATTATTTGTGGAATAAGGGTACTGGTAAAAGCCCTTTTGAGATTGTGTGTGGCGATTAACCTTCTGAGCCACAAATGTAAAAGACAAAATATGGTTAAAATAATGGAAGAGCTTCTAAAAACAAGACAAAAATTGAGGAATCAATCATGAATTACAAGAAGGACACTGATAAGAAATGTGGTATAAATTTCTATGTTAAAGACATACCCTATTGACACTTATTCATTATTCATTTCATTCATTGATGACCTCCTATTCAAAGCTCATAAAGAATAAGGAGAAGGAATAGGGCAAGGCCATATAGACTTAAAAAAAGATTGGATAAAATGTCAATGAAATTGATGTGCCTCAAGGCCCTCAACACTTGGGAAGCCATTGAACTTTCATTGAATCGGATTTAAATCGTTATCATGGAGATGGAGCATTCAAACTCCATGATGAGATTTCTCAAGCAAGGGGATTGATCCGTAAAAAGTTTTAGTATCGTGCATTTGCATTAAAGTGGGAAGTCAAGTATATGGGAAATAAGGGCCACACAGATAGAGTAGTTCAGAGTCATAAGTCAATAGTAGAACTAATTGTTATTGTACGTCAGGTACTAAGCAGTCGAGTCTACAAGAACATATCACATGAGGAATTCCAAGTTCAATAAAGAATTTGTCAATTGTCAACATTGAAGGAAAAATCACTATTGGCCTTTTCCCTCTAGGCTAGAACCTTATATTTATATCCCCATTTAATATAATATGTATATAAAGGAAATGCACAAGAATACAAAACTTTGTCTTTGAGTCTGTCTATACAACAGTCTTTGACCAACCGAAAACAGTTGCTACTTTATTTTACCACCGACCAAAAGTGCAAGAGAAGGTCCAAAGATGGCNATCTTTCCTCATGTCTCCCATTATAAAATGTGCAACCTATCATGATTAGGAAATAATAACATACGATTCTCAAATTTCCTAGAAGTATTGACCATTTTATTCTCTTTTAACCTCATATAGCAGTGGATAATGATGCATTCACAGCACAAACATAAAAGAAACCACAAAACAACACAAAAGAAAAGGAAGAAATTAAAGTAAATGCAAAACACCCACCAAATCATTCTTGGGATTCATCTTTATGGCTTCCCAGGTGACTTCAAGATTCTCGGTGGACGCATCCATGGCAAAGCAATTGAGCATTATTTCGTGCACATCGGAGGCGTAAGCAACCCGGTACACCAGATCGTACGTTGCCTCGAAACCCGTCACCGAACCTAGTCGGCTCTTGTAGCGGCGATGCTTACTGACAATCGCAAGGACTTCTGTGTCGATGTCATCAAAAATTGAGCCGCTCGGGTATTGTATGTCCTCGTCGATTTCAGAATCTTTACAGCTCGGGTATTCAGGAAGGGAAGGAAGAATCACCTCCTCCATTCTTACAGAATCTGCACAGCTCGGGTATTCAGGAAGGGAAGGAAGAATCACCTCCTCCAATCTTAGTCCCCAAGCTCCTCTGCAAATGGATCGACTAGGGCTATTAGAGAGAAAATTAGAGCACTGCCCCGTTCGCTTCAATATTATGTTGTGGTCATTTGAGTTTGGAATATAACACATAATAAGAAAATTATGTTTAAAATAATAACAATAAAATAGTTTTAAATACTTTTTTATAAAAACATATTATTATTATTATTTATATTCAAAATGATATGACTTCTCATTTTATATTATAATTCTTTTAATTTATATCAGATAACTACTTTATAGTTAAGTTAGTTTAAATAATTTTATTTTTTTGAATTAATATTAATAGGTAATTTAATTTTAATTATAAAAATAAATAAAATTATTTATTTATTTTGTATGTATAATATAGACGTCAAATCGAAGCAGACATNTGAAGAAAAAACGTGAATGTGTGAAAGAAAATAAAGTGAAATTAACATATTTGATTAATATCCAATTTGACATACATTGCATATGAAAATATTGATATAACACTTGTAATATCTAGGTAGACCGGTTAGAGTGATTATTTTGGGTGAACCGGCCCAGAGTAGATTCAGCTCAGTCTCAAGGTTTGACCTCGTCAAAGAGATCAGTGTCGTAGGTGAAGGTATGAGTCAGCTCTAATGATGAGGTAGGAAGCCGAGCTCACCGGAGAGCTCGGTCAAGTGAGGAGATTCTCACAACCTATAGGTCTGGTCATTGGAGATTATGAGGCGACCTAATATAGAATATAGCATGGGTTTCATGAGGTCAATACCAGGGTTGGTCCTAATAAACACTTGGCCCTGGCTTTATATATAAAAATAATTCCACTCAAAAAATTTATAAATATCAACGAAGAGTGTAAAAAGTAATACCCTTCAGAAACAATATTTTGTTTATACATTTCAACGAAAATGATCGAACAAGTACATAATTTTGAGACTTTTCTTTTTCTTATTTTCTAGAATGTTGCGATGATAGTATGTAAAGTTAACCGATTAATTTAAGTGCAGGGTCATACATTGATTTTAGACTAAACTTTAGCTCTTCACTAATATAGTTTATTTAGAGTAATGTTGCATGTTCGTCAATTTATATAAATAATGGCGTTAGATTAGCGCTCACTTCATAAAACATAAAGTAAAACACTTGATATGTGGTTGGGCTCGCTTTATAAAAATTACAAGTAAAACACTCAACATGTGGTTGGCTCGCTTCATAAAATATTTAGGTGAAACACACAATATACTGTTATCAACTAAGTATAAAAAATACACGGGAATCCTACGAACTGATATGTATTTTTCAGTTCTTACAAATAATCTAAAAAATAAAAAATAAAAATTACAATCGAACTGAAAAATAAATTACAACCGAAAAATAAATTAAAACTTAAAACGGAAAGATTTTAGCCGAGGCGAGTAAAACTCTTTCCGCAAAAAAAATACGCCCCGTGTGGCAGCTAACGGTTTAGGCATAACTTCCCCAAAGATACAACGGCAAACGTCTCTAAATCTGTACCACATCAGATTTACGAGCTCCGGCGAACTGGAACGGAGTCGAGAATTGAACACTTAAAATAGGAATAGAAAATCACTCTTTTGTTATTTCGATAACAAATAAATATTTCTATATTTTTCTCTATGATATTTTTATCCCTCCAAAATTATTTTTATACCTCTAATTTTCCTTTCCCTCTTTCTTTCTTTCCTTTTCTCTTTATTTTCTTCTGTGTCCTTTCTCCTCTGCCGAGTATCCCTATTTATAGGGTGAGAAGGCCAACAAATTGCTAAAATATATATATATATATATATTTTTTTTATCTTAACAATTGGGGCAGCTCATCCGCACCTACATAACACCTTCCCTTTATATATATATATATATATATATATATATTTTTATTGCAATTGGGGCGGCTGCATGTGGCACCGCCCCTACACTTTTCTCCAACAATCCCCCACAAAAGTGTAGATTAAATATATATAGGCTATTGTGCTCAACCCTCACAAAACTCTATTGCATCAGAAAAGGTAGTTTTTGGCTTTGAACCTTTCGTAGTAAACATCATCGGATGCACTGGCGGCCTAGTGGACATAATGCCTTGAACTATTCCTCCATAATGTACACCTAGACAATGACATTCACACAATAGAATCTTAACTCCATTCCGTTCTATCGTTGTGTCCATTTTGGCCATGGACATCACTTTGGATTCATAAGTGTTTACATTTGAAGCGGCCCACACTTCACACTTATATAGGTGACCTCCCTATCAAGAGTATCCTATATTACTCCACCTTTACAAGGTTAGGGATTCATTAAAAGTCCACATGACTTACCCTCACCACAATCAACAGGTCATCTTGCACTTGGAGTGCTCAAGGGAATAGCTTAGGACATTCATATGTTCCAAGTGCTCAACTGAATTTTCATAGCTTAGTTTTCCCTTTGAACCAAGTTCGTGGGATCTCCACTTAGCATGGTAGGGTTACCACTATGATCATTCTTTAAATTGTGGATTTTTAAGCCCATTCCCTCTAGCAAAACTACCAATTGATCTCTATTCAATCCTTTCGTCAAAGGATCAGCCAAATTTTCCTTAGACTTCACATAGTCAATGGAAATAACACCATTTGTGATCAATTGGCGTACGGTATTATGTCTACGACGAATATGTCTAGATTTACCATTATACAAGTTGCTTTGCGCCCTACCTATAGCAGCTTGACTATCACAGTGAATCATCACAGGCGGCAAAGTCTTATCCTAACATGGAATATCGGATAAAAAATTTCTAAGCCACTCGGCTTCTTCACCAGCTTTATCTAAAGCTATGAACTCCGATTCCATCGTTGACCGAACTATACATGTTTGTTTTGTGGATTTCCACGAAACTGCACCTCCTCCAATACAGAATACATATCCGCTAGTGGAGCGAGAATCTCTCGAATCTGATATCCAGCTTGCATCACAGTACCCTTCAAGTACGGCTGGATATCTCAAGTATTTTAGCCCGTATTCAAGGGTGTACCTCAAGTACTTAAGTACCCTTCTCAAAGCATTCCAGTGTTCATGACTGGGATTGCTCGTAAATCTGCTCAACTTATTCACCGGGTAGGCCGAGTCTGGTCGTGTACAATTCGTCAAGTACATCAGATTCCCTATTATCCGTGAATATTCCAACTGAGCCACTGGTTGACCTTTATTGACTACCAGATTTATACTGAGATCAATGGGTGTCTTACACCTAGACTGTGCACCGTCATAGGTATCAAAGAAATCATACCCTTCTTTTTGTTTAAAGCCTTTTACCACCAATTGTACTTTAAACTTATCAATCGATCCATCAGCTTTATATTTCTTCTTTAGGATCCACTTGCATCCTAAAGGTTTACAACCATCAGGGAGATCAACCAACTCCCAAGTATGGTTTTGCATAATGGACTCGATTTCGCTATTTACAGCTTCTTCCCAGAGTGGTCCATCAGGGCTGGACAGAGCTTCCTTAAGGGAACTTGGTTCATCGTCCAACATATACGTAATAAAATCATGTCCAAACGTTTTCGCCGTTTTTGACCTTTTACTACGTCTCGGTTCTTCATCAGTACCCTCTGGTACAGAACCACTAGCAGTTTCATACGTTCGTTTATTAGAACTAGATTCTGCTCTTTCTGTTAGAGGAAAAATATTCTCAAAGAATATAGCATTCCTCGATTCAATCGTGGTACCAACAGATACCTCTGGATTTTCTGATTTATGAACTAGAAATCTATATGCTGTACTATTGTACGCATATCCAATAAATACACAATCGACCGTCTTTGGCCCGATTCTCATTTGTTTGGGTTCCGGTACTGAAACCTTAGTTAAACACCCCCACACTTTTAGGTATTTATAAGACGGCTTACGATTTTTCCACATTTCGTAAGGAGTCTCATCTTTTCCTTTAGGTGGTATTTTATTCAGGATATGATTTGCTGTTAAAACAGCTTCCCCCCACATGTTTTGGGGTAATCCTGAATTTATCAACATGGCATTCATCATTTCTTTTAACGTACGATTTTTGCGTTCAGCAACACCGTTCGACTGTGGAGAATAAGGGGCCGTCGTTTGATGAATTATGTCATATTCAGAACATATTTGTTCAAAAGGAGCTACATACTCCCCACCCCTATCACTTCGGATTATTTTAATCCTTTTGCCGAGTTGATTTTCAACTTCGGTCTTATAGATTTTAAATGCTTCCACAGCCTCGTCTTTGCTTCTTAATAAATATAAGTAGCAAAACCTTGTGCAATCATCGATAAAAGTAATAAAATACTTTTTACCTGTTCTTGTTTGCACACTTTTCATATCACATACATCAGTATGGATTAAGCCTAATGGTTCAGTACACCTTTCCACCGAGTGAAAAGGCAACTTAGCCATTTTTGCTTCAATACAAATCTCACATTTCTTATGTGATTCAATTTTAGAATTAGGAATTAATTCTAAATTCATCAACCGTTTAATTGCATTTCGATTTACATGTCCCAATCTAATATGCCATAAATCAGAGCACTCAACGGTATAAACAGAAATAGGCTTTTCATTATCATTTAAAACGGTTACACGGCTCACGGCCATTACATTCATTTTAAACATACCCTTGTCGAGATAGCCACGACCAAGGAAAGTTCCAAACTTACTAAGAACAAATTTCTTAGCATCAAATACTAGCCTAAATCCATGCTCAACAAGAAGAGATCCGGAGACCAAATTCTTGCGGATGTCTGGGACATGCAGAACATCCTTAAGCTTCAACTCCTTTCCAGAAGTCAGCTTCAGCACCACAGTGCCCACTCCAGCCACATCAGCCGTGGCGGAGTTTGCCATGTAAAGTTTCCGACTCTTAGCAGGAGTGTATTCAGAGAACACCT